GCTGCACACACACACACATCACCACACCTGTAGCACCTACACATGTACCAACTACACCACCACCACCTCCAGCTCCTGCTGCAGGCCAGCCACGTCCTGGGCTGTCTGCAACAGCTGCACACACACATCACCACACCTGTGGCACCTAGACCACCACCTACACCACCACCACCACCTACACCATCACCACCACCACCTACGCCACCACCTACACCACCACCACCTACATCACCACCTACACCACCACCACCTACACCACCACCACCACCTACACCATCACCACCACCTACACCACCACCTACACCACCACCCACACCACCTACACCACCACCACCACCACCTACACCTGTACCACCTACACCTGTAGCACCTACACCACCACCACCACCTACAGCACCACCATCACCTAAACCACCACCACCACCTACACCACCAACACCACCTGTACCACCTACACCTATAACACCAACAACAACCACAATTCGCCACTAAGTGGCGATGGCGTCACCACGACGCTTGTGCCAGGCGGAGGAGCGAAGCTCACAACAACGAGCGGAGCGCCCGGTGGCTAAAGCACAGCAAGTTGGCACAGTAGGGGGCATAGGTGGTGCATCAGCCAGTCATCTCAATCAGACGACCCATGGCACCTGCTGGGTCTTGCTCTGTGACCTGCCAGCGGGCGTTCGACACTTCACGTGGCCTCAAGGTGCACATAGCCTGGCACAAGCATCGTGGTGACGTCACCGCCACTTAGTGGCAAATGGCGGTTGTTGTTGTTGAGTGTGCGAGTGAGTCTGCGTGTGAGTCTGTGTGTGTGAGTCTGTGTGTGTGAGTCTATGTGTGAGTCTGCGTGTGAGTCTGTAGACTCACTTTGTCCACCCACACTGCATCCGTGTGTGAGTCTGTGTGTGTGAGTCTGTGTGTGTGAGTCTGTGTGTGTGAGTCTATGTGTGTGAGTCTATGTGTGTGAGTCTGTGTGTGTGAGTCTGCGTGTGAGTCTGTGTGTGTGAGTCTGTGTGTGAATCTGTGTGTGTGAGTCTGTGTGTGTGAATCTGTGTGTGTGAGTCTGTGTGTGTGAGTCTGTGTGTGTGAGTCTATGTGTGTGAGTCTGTGTGTGTGAGTCTGTGTGTGTGAGTCTGCGTGTGAGTCTGTGTGTGTGAGTCTGTGTGTGAGAGTCTGTGTGTGTGAATCTGTGTGTGTGAGTCTGTGTGTGTATCTGTGTGTGAGTCTGTGTGTGTGAGTCTGTGTGTGTGAGTCTGTGTGTGAGTCTGTGTGTGAGTCTGCGTGTGAGTCTGCGTGTGAGTCTGCGTGTGTGAGTCTGTGTGTGAGTCTGTGCGTGTGAGTCTGTGTGTGAGTCTGCGTGTGTGAGTCTGTGTGTGAGTCTGTGTATGAGTCTGTGCGTGTGAGTCTGTGCGTGTGAGTCTGTGGGTGTGAGTCTGTGTGTGAGTCTGCGTGTGTGAGTCTGTGTGTGAGTCTGTGCGTGTGAGTCTGTGTGTGAGTCTGTGTGTGAGTCTGTGCGTGTGAGTCTGTGCATGTGAGTCTGTGTGTGAGTCTGTGCGTGTGAGTCTGTGTGTGTGAGTCTGTGTGTGTGAGTCTGTGTGTGAGTCTGTGTGTGAGTCTGTGCGTGTGAGTCTGTGCATGTGAGTCTGTGTGTGAGTCTGTGCGTGTGAGTCTGTACGTGTGAGTCTGTGTGTGTGAGTCTGTGCGTGTGAATCTGTGTGTGTGAGTCTGTGTGTGTGAGTCTGTGCGTGTGAGTCTGTGTGTGTGTATCTGTGTGTGTATCTGTGTGTGTATCTGTGTGTGTGAGTCTCACCTTGTCTAGGCCACACTGCATGCGTGTGCGAGCCCCGCGGATCTCTCCGCTCTTGAGCGCCAGCAGGCGCCCGAACGTGGCCAGCAGCTCCAGGAAGGCCGTGGGGGTCACGCTGCTGGTCCGGCCCAGCTGGGCGCGGAACCGCAGAGACGCCTCGCTCAGAGAGCGGTGGATACTCACACACGCACTCACCTACACACACACAGATACACACACACAGATACACACACACAGATACACACACACAGATACACACACACAGATACACACACACAGCGAGACACACTGTTACACAACAACAACAACAACAACCGCCATTCGCCACTAAGTGGCAGTGACGTCACCACGATGCTTGTGCCAGGCCAAGTGCACCTTGAGGCCACGTGAAGTGTCGAAAGCCCGCTGGCAGGAGGTCACGGGGCAGACCCAGGTGCCACGGGTCGACTGACCGAGATGACCGAGATGACTGGCTGATGCACCACCTGTGCCCCCTACTGTGCCAACTTGCTGTGCTTTAGCCACCCGGCGCTCCGCTCGTTGTTGTGAGCGTCGCTCCTCCGCCCTCCGTTGTTGTTGGAGGGCGACTGCCTCCAACTGCCCAGTAGCGTCCTTCACGAGCCTCCTCCACTGAGGCCGA